ACGTTCTCTAACTGAAACAGTGCATTACTAAATTTAATTAGATTTGATTAAAATTTATATTATATATACTTAACTTGTATTTTCTGTCATGACTTTAAACATATAGCTTAATATATTGTATATAATTTTTAAATAGATAAATATATATATATATATATATATATTTGCAAATAAATTTTTTTATCACACACATTTTAATACTCTTTCTTAATTTTAAATGTTATATAATTACTAGCAAATTTTAAATAGAATAAATTTCCGGTAGAACAAGTAGATGAGTAAAATGACAAATTCTCGATTCATGATAAATTTTATATTTGATAATCTCTTTATCAGTGTCTTTCTGCGTCATTGATAATTTCTACATCATTAAAGTGAAATATTGGATATATTTACCGCACAAATTGCCACTAAATTACATATCTATATGTATTTTACTCCTAAATCACATATCTACATAATTTCTAGAGCATTCGTAGCCTAAATGCAGAAATCTTAACTTATCGCAAACAAATCTTCAAATATATTTCACAAACAAAAAGATTTATTAAAAAATCTAGAGAAACAGTTTGTAATGCATAAATCTTTACTTCTCTAAGTAAAATATACAATATTCAACATACATTGAACTTACTTAACATAAAATGCATAAAAAATAGCCATACCTTTGCAAAACCGGCGACTAACAGACGCAGGCGAGCGAGCAGCGAAAAAAAAAGTGCGAAATGGGAGAGGAATGGATTGGGAAAGGGAAAGTAGATGATTTTTTTTTTGGTAAAGTAGATGATTTAATTAAGCCTAAGTTGCCCGATTAACGGGCGACTTATCTTAACTCCTTTAACTGCCACATCATCTGCTACATCGTCGTGTGGATTACACCTAAGTCGCCTATCAAACGAGCAATTTTTCCTATTTTTAATTTCTTTCGGCGCCATGCTTAATCTTATAGTTAAATTGTTAATTATGCTTAGTTCAAAAATTTGCCTCCTAATTTTTCCAATTTTGTAAGTTTTTCAAATAAAACTCTAGTGTCTCTTGCCAACTATATATGGGTGTGCTAGATTTTTTTATACGGTCAAGGTAGTAAACTCTCTCTACCATCATGAATATTATAAGTTGCAATATATAAGTAATTATAGTTAATTTTAAATATTATTTTAATTGTTGATATATTTAAATTTCAATATTAAAATTAGGATATTAATTATTTATATTTATAGTTAAAATTTGAAGTTCTTAAAATTTTCATATAGATTTCAAAATGTAGTTTTGTATAATTGTGCATGTGAGTGAGCGAGTTCTGCAATAGACTTGGTTGGATTAGACCTTTAGGCTTGCCAGTTCACGGTGAATGACAAATTATTACATGCAGTGGTCGGATTGTTCAGAGATGAATCAAGACGAGCCATGTAATCAAAATATACGTCGAGAAGACGTGGCACATCCGAATTCGTCTCAGGATCAACCCGGACGCAGCACATAATAATTTGCTAGGTTTATGACCCAATCCCGCATTCCTCTGTAAAAACCGATGACCAACATAATTTTTTTCGTGTTGCCGCCATACTGATAATGATCTGATAAAGGCTGCAATTATTATGAGCGTAAACTCTCTTTATCATCATAATATACTATTAATCCTGAACATAATCTACTATAAACACTATTATAATCATTTCAAATAAGTTATGCCCCATAATTTTTTCAATTTTATAAGTTTTTCATATAAAGCTCTTTTGTCTTTTGCTACTATATATGCATGTGCTATATTTGTTTATAGTGTTGAGATAGTAAACTCTCTTAATCATCATGGATATCATAAGTTGCAATAATTAATTAAGTATAGTTAATTTTAAATATTATTTTAATTTTTGATATATTCAAATTTAAATATCAAAATTAGGATATTAATTATTCATATTTATACTTAAAGTTTGAAGTTCTTAAAATTTTTATATAGATTTCAAAATATTTTTTTGTATAATTGCGTATGCGAGTGAGTTAGTCCTGCAATAGATTTGGTTGGACTAGACCTTTAGGCTTACCGGTTCACGGTTTATGACACAAGCACGCATTCCTCTGTCAAGGCCGGTTACCAACATAATTTTTTTCGTGTTGCCGCCATACCGAAAATTACCTGGTAAATGCCGGGAACCTAAGGCGGTCTATAGGCGTAATAGTACGCGTGGACTCATTGCATCCGTCCATTAAAAACTAACGCGTATCCAGGCCGCCTATTTTCTCTTCGTTAGGCTATATAAATGCGTGCCATGTTTGCCCTACATCTCAGGTTCGTTCCGATTCACGACAGCCCTCTCCTCCCCGCCGACTTTCCCTCGCCTCAACCTCTTGGTCGGCGTCTCCTCCCATGGCTGCTTTCTTTGATTTGATGGCTTCGTCTCATCTCCAATCTCGTTTTGCCACTAAATTCCTGGTAGTGATATTGAATTGATGTCGTAGTGGGTTCTCCTGGTTTTCGGTTGATCGGGGTCTCAGGCCTCGGATCTGGATGAGATTGGAGCAGATCACGTCTTCCCTGCTCTTATTTTCTTCTTTTTTGCGTGGATATTCAGAAGTCCGAAAGTTATATGGGTGGATTGTCCGTTGTCATGTTATGCGATCACACTTTTTGCAGATAGATGGTTTTAAAATCGCGTATTTGAAGGGATATTTAATGCTGCGCGGTTTCACTACAAGTTTTGCTAGATCCATCACCGGATATGGCAAACCTTGTCTTCTGCTCATATGCATAGCTTGGATACCGAAGTTTCTTCCAGTTCCCAACATGTTTTGGAGGCTGAAAATGGTATGGTAAAATCTATTTGTTGTATCTGATGACCTGTTATTTGATGTCTACTCTTGACCTTTGCCATGCTGGGTGCGCTCGCATGGCAGGCCGCCAAACCTAATAAAATCTATATTTTTTGGGTGTTTTCTTGGGGAGATCGTACGGGGCTGAAAATTTCTTACCCGGGTTCTCCCCAAGATCGTCTTCTCGCTTTTTCCCTTGCTTTCTGTTCAATCTAATTCTGCCCTCTATGTTTAGCGTGTTGTTTATCAACTTAGGCAGAACATGCTCTCATTGGTTGTGGCCTGAACTCTGAATCGTTATCGAAACGCTATCAATCTAACAAGAGAACACGCCTGCACTAGAATCTAGGTTCTGAAGAACCTGATAAGGTATAAACAATCGTTAATCCTTAAATTAATCAATACTGACATGGTTTACAATAAGGAAATTTCTCATTACATTTGATGAAAGGTTCCTATCCCCATTCTTTTGTTCTTTAATCGTTCAGTATCGTGCACGAGTGCTGGTAAATAATTTTTTTCACTGATAGTACAGAGACGTTACATTTTACCTGAAAATTATTCTGAATTCACGTTGATCACATATCCATTGGAAGTTGAGCATGCTGTTTCGTTTGTTTGTGTGTGGATTGTTCGCTAATCATTTACCGTATGGGTTTCATATTCAGTTTATCTCTTTGGTCCTGTTTCTACCGGTTTAAATACTTTAAAGTATTGGCGGCTATAGTTTTTTTGGGTACTCTATATGTTTCTCCTAAACAAAACGTCATTCTATCTTATCATCTTGTTGTAAAAAAGCAGTTAGTTCATCTCCAACAGAAAACCACATTTTGAACTCTAAAATGCCTTAAAACTTCAAAATTTCAAAATGAGGTAGTTCATCTCCAATTGAACTCTATTTTTCTTTTTTCCCGTGCTTCTTTTGGAAGGTGGTTATCTCTCTACTGTTTCGCGCTCTCCCTGTGAAGCTAAGCAGAGTGCGAAGGCAATCGCTTTTTTTGGCGTAGGTGAACAGTCTGACTCCAATCACACTGTTCACCTATGGATTTTTGGCGCGAGATTTGGAGTTCGAATGCAGTGATTTCCAAACTGCATACAATAGTCTGTAGTTCAATTGGAGATGATCCTATAAACATTCTCTCTGTTTTGCATCCTCTTCAATTGTTTTGAAAATTTTAGGATTATAAATTTCATGTGGCTCTGATACATGTATTTTTTCACCATTTTTTTCAAGAATGATATGATTCAAATTAGTGACCATAGAGAGATTATCTTTCATTTTTTTTTGTTTTTGTTTTCCATCTGTTACTTTTCATAATATTTTGAATTCAGCATTAGTTTTTTTTTTTTTTTGAGAGATTTATCAAGAGTATATTAGTAACATAAAAGTTATTTAAAATTTTGAAAACAAAACAATTTATGACCCATTCAACCTAAAAAATATATGATTTTCCTAGTACAATTCTACATGTGTATCACAAATTTGCATTTATTTGTTAGTATTTTGCTTACCACTTTTTTGATACTTATGAAATGAAGTAATCTCATTTAATTGATATTGAATGAAACATCATTTACTTTATTTAATATTTAATATTTAATATTTAATGAATGTTAATTCAATAAAAAGTATTTTGTCTTTTGATTCTCTTATTTTTGTCCACATCAAAGCCAACATTCGAAGAGGTTGATTATCTTCTCTAGTTTACATGAGTAAGGAAGCGTTAAATGAATGGTTGCAATTTTTGTTTCATCTGATTTGAGGGTGAAGAAACTTTCTTCTGTGAAATATAGATGTACATGGCAAGTATTATGCTCTCTATTCGAGATGAAAAGAACACTTATATATGAAATTAAATGTCTTTGATATTTCTTATTTAGAATTTTTGTTTTCAATATTTGGAAACCATGTAAGGTTTTTTTGTAAATATTGATTTCATGTATAGAATTAGCTGGTGCCCAGCTTCTTAGTAGCTGTTTTATGGTATTTAGAACTCTTTAGTGGCTGATGGAGAATAGAGCTTCAGTTGATGTGGTCGATGGTGGAGCCTTTATTAGAGATCTGTGTCTCATGCCTCAGATCTAGATGATATTGGACCAGAGCTCTTTTTCCTCGCTGTTCTTTTCGCGTTTAATGCAGTGATATTGGTGGGTTGCAATATAATGTTACATGCTCACAATTTCTGCAGATAAATTGATGCAAAGCTTAGACATCTGATTTTGCTCCTGCTTCCAACATGCTATCAAGATTGAAGATGGATTGGTAAATCTGCTCGTTGTACTGTTGATATGTTCTTCATTGTCATTTCTAGGCCTTTGCCATGGTGGGTGCGCTCTCATGGCAGGCCATCAAACCTAATAAAATATATATTTTCTTGGTGTGTTGGTGGGGAGATCGCACGGGGCTGGATTTTTTTCCCCCGGGTTCTCCCCCACCTGGTCTTCTAGCTTTTTCGCTTGATCTCTGGTTTTTCTAATATTGCACTCTATGTTTAGCGTGTGGTATATCAACTTAGACGTGACGGCCGCATGGATTGAAGTCTAAATTCTGAATCGTTATCCGAATTCTATCATTCTAAATGGACACGTCTGGTGAAGAATTAAGGTTCTGAAGCACTTCACAAGGTATAAAGAGTTGTTAAACTTTGAACTAATCAGTACTTGCTTACTTTTTTATTTTTTAGGGAATCTTATCCTAATATTTTGGTGCTACATTCGTTTATTATCGTGCCTAAGCTCTTTTAAATAATCCAATTTCACAAAAAATATCCGGATTGATAACTGTTTCTTTCAAATTATTCTAAATACACGTTGATCGCGTATTGATTGGAAAAGCTATATGCTGTTTCGCACTTTCGTTTGTATTTGTGATCTTTAGTTGCTTGTGCTGTTGTTCCCCTTCTTTATTTTTTAGGTCTTTAGGTTTTGTTTATAGTTTTCATTGGTGTTTGAAACTGTTTCTGCTAGTTCAACTGCTTTAAATTCTAGTTAGTTGTTTGTTGGTAGTTGAGATGGAGTTTATGTTTGGGAAACTTTACTCACTGCTTTGGTTTTAAAATGCTGCTGATTTTGTAATGATTTTTCTTTTGTTTTTGAAATTTTATTGTGGCAAGACATTTTTGACAATCTAATTGTTTGTGTATTGGCTCATCTTTTTTAAAAATTATATTTTTAATTTTCACATCATTTAAAAAGAAAAACCCTCATTTTAGTGTTACATTCTTCTCTACAAAAAGCTCCAATCACTCTAAACAAATCTTAAATCTATTTCAGGCAAACGTTGGCTGTGAATTTGCATACGTACCACTATATATTATATTTATTTCACAGCATTAACTACCATCTCGATATCGTTTCTAACATTGTTACAAATATCAATATTTTTGAAATCTTTATTTTACAAATATCTGATGGAACTTATTAATAATATTTATATTAATTAAACGCTTTTTTTATTCGATAATAATTCAACGTTTAATTTTAAAAATCGATGGGTGGGTTTTTTCTAATTTCAAGTTTGATTCTGAAGGCTACGCGCTATGTTTCGTTAACGCCACGGGATATTTCATAATGTTTTCACCCGAACCATCTGCAGGAACTCGATCAGATGTAAAACTTGCTTATGTTATAAAAAAATCCAGTTATTCCTTTGGTGTTTAAGTTAAAGCTATATTAGCCCATTCTTTGTTTATCGTGTTGTGGTAGCTTATTTTTGGTATTTCATTTCAGTAGACTATTTTCACCTGTTTGTTGGTTATTGCCTTTATTTTTATTATGGCCAGCTGTATATGTTAATTTTTTCATCGATTGAGATCTTACAAGCACCCGATGGGTGCTTATTAATTGAATCGATGACAGGTCCTATTTGTTATTAATCACACATAACTGGATATTAAAGATTTATGATTTGATTCATAGGAGATCATATATTTTTAGTAAATTTAGTTATTGAATTGTAGAAAGTACAATGTTATCATTGTAAACTTATAGGCTAGGGTGATATTTGAAGATGATTAAAACACAAGTACTAAAAATAATATGCAAACACTTGAAGAGGTAATTTATATTTGATTAATGTTCTAATAATATAAATAGCATTTGTAGGATGACATTATCAGATATTGCAAAAGTTTTGAGAGAGTTTCTCCTAATTTGCAAGCGAAGCATAAATTTTAAGGTTATTTTTTATTCAATTATAGCTGTATATTTTGACATAGTACGAGTATTATCAGAAACCTTTGCACTGAGTGACACCTCATGTAGATAAATTTGTTGTTTATCACTGAACCTAACAAGGAGTTGGTCTGATTGTATAGATTAATAGTTTTTTGTATATTATGTTTTGTTCTCCGTAGTTGGAAAAGCTTACACGCTGTGAGATTAAATTTAGGCTTATTGTTCTGAGAAATATCTGAAAACTACGCGTATCTGATTTACCCTTTTAACTCTGCTAACCATTCAACGTATTTTGATCAATCAATGTTAATTGTTTGGAGTAAAAAATATGTAAAATAAAATTTTTTTAGTACTATGGTCAAACGAAAGCTTTCGATTTCTTAGTTAATAGAAATGGAAGCCAAGATTATCTCTTATCGGCTTATTTAAGATAATATAAGGGTCGCAATCTCAATCAAGATATGCTAAGCTATTATTACTATTTTTAAAAAAGTTTTATGGTTCAAAAATTGTCCAAAAAAATTGTTTAATTGAAGCTTTAAAGCAGCAGTAAGAAAGTCTTTCAAAACTAAGCTTAAAAGGTGGGGCTTTAATTCTTCTGCAGAAAGTATAAGAAGCAAAGTAGGTTTAAATACCAAAACAGAAGATAATGTCAAACGAACTATTCAATCTATGTCAATGCAGAGTTTAATAATAATTTAAAAGAAGATATTTTCCGCCACTTTCAGTTGCTTGAGCTTTGATGTTGCTGAAACAATCTGTCATATATTCTTCACAGGTCTAGTATTTTCTTCCATGCAAAGAGAACTTTTGATGAAGGTGGCTGTATGACTATCCTATCTTAGACAGCCCTGTGCCCTGTTGACATGCGCGATAGAGGTTTGTGTGCAGTATCACATATGATATATGCTTTATATTCCTCTTATAATTCGTTTCTCTTGTAATGTCTCTGAAATATTTTGCATAATCTTCTAGCAAGCTAACTTTATAAAAAGCTATAGTTGCCTTAAAATTACTTGAAAAATACATTGCACCACTATAGATTGCAATTGATGGAAGCAGCTAATAAGCACATACAGTATATTTGAAATTTATTTTAAGGCTTAGAGGCCAAAGTTTAGTTAACTGATCACTTAAATTGCTTTGCTTTCATTCATTCAAGCAAAGAAGCTCAAATTTCTGAAGAAAATCTTTTGAAAATTTTATGTACCTGGAGATAAGAGAGGGCTTGATTGAGCCGGCGAACTCTTCACGAAGAAGATTAGACGCAGAGATGAAGGCGGCTGCTACTGTGAACAAGAGTAAAAAATTAACTAGTTATTCATCGCATAAGGTAATTTCATAGGGCTTTTCCTAAAAGTAGAATGTCAACCAAAATTACGTTAGCTACAGTAAAAGATGAATTACGAATTATAAAATATCAACTATGAGCATCCAAACAAAAGCATGAATAGGAGTCTGAAATTTCAATAACTCCATTTACCTGTTGAATGGTGGAGAACTTTGCAAACAAATCATCAGGTATAGACCAATCGAATACGTCAAAGTTTTCTCGGATTCAAGATTCTTTGGTGCTCCTCGGCAGTACACTGTTACCAACTTGGATTCCCCCACGAAGAGCTACTTGCGCAGCAGTCTTTCCCAATTTCTTTGCAGCCACGGTAAGAACAGAGTTTGCAAGGACATTCCCTTTTACCCATTTTGACCGGAAGAACCTAGCGGAGAATATCCCTAGAGGCCCGCGGCCCGTCCGGCAACCTCTTCACGAAGATGGTTGCAATTGAAGAGATACGCGACGCGAAAGAAAATGCGAACAGAGATGGATGGCTGTGTCAAAATTTAGGGCAAATAATTTTTTTGGGGTTGGGGCATATTTCCGAAACTGGCCATCTGCTGCAGTTTTTTAATATTTCCGAAACTGTGCGTGGATCCGCCCGTGAATTGTCATGAATTTTTATCGACAAAATTAGCGTTAATTTTTTTTTTATAATATCAAACTTATTATTTAGAGGCCTTATTAATTTTTGGTCACTAAAAGATATCTTTAGAGTCCAATTTATTTTTGTCTCTATTTTTTTTAATCTCAATTGGCCCATTTTCTTGTAGTGGTATTGGCTTAGTGAGCTTAAATTATTTTCAATAGACCAACCACTTCTCTTAATTTGAATTATTTTCATTACCATTCTCCTTCAATGCTTTCTCTTTTTTTTTTTAAATTATAAATTACCTCCTCATTTACTTGTTTGACAGCAAGAAAAAAACATTAAGAAAGTATAAGCTTTGTTTTTTGCTTATTTGTGTTGAAATAGGTTAAAAATCATTTTAAATGTGTTTTTTTTAACTTAACCAATCAAGTGAGCCGTAATAAGTTGCGTGAAAAATTTAGAATTATTGTGATGTTGAGAAATTAAATAAAAATTTAGAATTATTGTGATGTTGAGAAATTAAATAAATATTTAAACTTTGATATGATCTAAAAAGACGTATTTGACCTAACCCTACAAAAGTAAGTAAAAGTAAGTGCTAGAGAATTTTGTTTATCTTTTTTCTCTCAAAATGGCGTCTCCCTTAAATATAAATCAAATTGTGATGGTTTAATGTATGTAAATTTATTTTTTTAATATTTATAAAATTAGGAAAATCCGAAAAAATGTAATTTTGGCTAATTTTTCTCTTGGTTTATAAAATAAAGAGGGTTGAAGCCTGAAGGCAAAAAAATTGAGGGGCTGCTGTGATAAAATATCATACTATGATGTTTCGTATTATTTTTTGGATTCATGGTGTCACTTCACCTCTTCATCCTTTCTGCTTGGCGCTCATGCATCAGAAGAAAATTTTATATAAAAAAAAGATCATATATGATGTATTTTCAATGTTAATAAATTAAAAATTAATACATTTAATTTGCAATTAGTCAAATGGTTTTTTGAAATTTAAATTTCATATATTTTAGTTATTTTATAATTTTATTTAATGTGTTAAATTGTTCCATCTAATAGCTGCCTAGTGAAAAAAAAAAATTCATGAAATTAAAAAACATTTGGAATGGAGATACTTTGCAAGAAGAGATCAGATATAAAATGGCATTCGTTTTTATAATAAGGCTGGTGAATCAATTTGACCACCTCGATAAAACAATCACATTGTGGATGGAAGTAACTTCCTTCTTAGGTATCTTCTCAAAATTTTAATTTTTTTTTTCTGTGAAATTAAATATTTTTTAATATAAAAATTATAATTTTAAAACTTAAAAATGAAAAATTTATTTTAAGAAGTAATAAAAAAATTATCCCAAATGAAGCAAAATGATTAAGATGTTCACGTGGAATTTTTATTGGGTCAGGTAACCTGATGTAGAGATACATCAGGTACCCAACAAAAAGTAAGTGCATGTGGCATTTTTTTATTGGGTACCTGATGTATCTCTACATCAGTATGGTGGCAGTGATCCATTAATGCATTGAAGTCAAGAGCTAAAGAATTTAAAATCCACCCATATTGATTCGCTCTCAAACAAATTCTAAATACATTATAAAATGAATAGAAATCTTCATTTTTAAAAAAATAATTAAAATTTATTTTACTTCCAATAAAAATCTCAAATTTATAACCTCGCATTTGAAATACCCCTCACTAAAGATTTATTGGTTACACAGCCCCTTATGGACTTTGCTTCTACGCTGTGGCAATCAATTAAGATGTCTTGATTTGAATTTTAAATATATACTAATCGACCTAAATATCCCTTTTTTTATACATAGTTTTACACAACTTACATAATCATCAAACATGTTGGCATATATAGTCAAACATTCCCACGTGCAAAACCCGACGTCAAGAAAATAATAAATCAAAGTCACGCAATGCGATAAGGCTAAAAAATGAGCCCTCAACATTTAAATTAACCAAATGCACATTCCAGAACTTTCCGTAGAAATACGCCGTAAAGTTTTCTATCACCGTAGCATTTTCCTTAGCTGTAGGCCATCTAGGTTTGATAGCTCGTCATTATCGCCGTATATGGTTAAATATTTCACAAACTTTTATAATAATTTAATACCTGATTTGGTTCTTAGAAAGCTCATCATGCCATGCACGAATAAAAATATATTATAATTGATCCATATAGATTTTGAAATAATATTTAAATAAAAAACTTTCAAAATTAAATTCAACACCATTTTATTTTAATTTTAATGAATGTATATCTATTATGAGTAATAGAATATTCTTGTATCTTTCAATATAGTATTTATTATTACAACTGAGTCTGTTACTATGATTTTTCGTATTATTTGATTTTTCACATGAATATTTCAAATCTCATTTGATTTTCTTTTGCATGTGTTGAACTTTTTGGCGTATTTCTACAGACCTTAGAGATTGAAGAAAATTATTCCATCATATTTAATTTCAATCACATTTTTTTTATTGATCATTCACCAATTTAAACAAAATAATAATAATAATAATTATTATTAAATTATTAAGTTATCCCAATTTTCAAATTTAGTTCTCTTCATTAGATACAAATTTTATGTGAAAAAAGAGATCTCCTCTAATATGAGAATATTTTTATTTTTTAAATTTTCTCTACATTTTATGATGAAGAGATTAAATTATGATGCTTTAACCAACAAAAAAATTACGAAAATTAAATATGAGGTGTCATCCTCTAATACGAAATATCTTTAGTAAGGCAACTATGGACTATAATAGAGCTTATTATTGGAGTAATGCCAAGAATAGCAAGTCTATCATCAAATGAGATGCCATTTATCATTTATGATAATATCTTATACTATTAAAAACAAAGTTAAAAATTAATATTGATTAATTCAATGGGATATTAAACAATGGATCTAAGGTAAAATTTATAAAATAACATGCAGGATACGTGGACCGGTTTCAACTCTAAATAATTTGGATTACGGTGGGTCAAAATACACGTCTAACCGCCCGCAAAAGCACGTAAGTTGGTTTTTAATATATTTTCCCACCCCAAATAATATACGATTTTTTATTCGATAATATTTTTTTTATTTAATTTTTTTGCTTAAGAAATTACTATTGAATAGAAGATAATTTGAGTGACACGTCACGTCACATATTTTAAGTCAAAAATTTTTAATGCTTATTTTAGGGTTTGAATGGATATTTACAATATCTAAGAGATGCAATTATATTTAGATATTTGATGGATTTTATTATTTTTTATTTGAAGGAGAATCCATTATTCTTCTTCTCTATATTATAAAAATTTAACATTAGAATATTCAAATATTCTTTTCAATCTTTCATATGCAACTCTTAAAAAATTTAAGATTTTTTTTCACTTTAATTTAATAGAGATTTTTAAATAATTACTTAAATTATTAAATTTTAATTATTGAAGATATTTTACTTGGGCTATAAGTTTTTTTATTTATGTATATATTTGTAAAAGTAAATTGTATATCTTAAAATAAATAATTACTATTATTATAATCTTTATATTGCTTTACATTATATCTAAAAAATTATATGTCATATAAATAAATTTTTTGAAATTGGTATACATTATAAAATCTGTATTAAACAATTTAAAATAAATTTAAATTTTTAAGAACAGCCTAATATAATTTATATTACATATTTCTGATATATATTTTAATCATATGAAAATTTATGCAAATAATAAAATAAAATAAATAAAAACCGGTTAAAATGGAAACTAAAACCAAACAAAAACGAGGTCACGTAAATCCCATGCAACCACCAACCATTAACAAACCCATTCCTCATCCAAAACCAACCACGTCCCCTCCCTAATCCTTCCTCATTTCATTGGTGGTTACATCTAATCCAACCTTCTTTAATTCTTAATTAAAACACTAATCACAATTAACTAAAACTTCTATAGTAATAATAATAATAATTAATAATAATAATATATATAGGATGTGGTGAAATTATTTTGTGCAGTCAGTGGACGCCATCCGAGGAGAATTAGGATGCACAATGTCACTTTTTTGGTGTGCGTCATTGTCGTGTACTACTGTGTATCAGGTGACATGACACATCTTGATTCATCTCTGATCGATTTGATGACCACAGAATAATCTCTCCATGCCTTGTGCATCCACTAAATCCGGTCTCCCATCAATAATTAACTCCACCATCCAAACTCTATTAATTAAATTAAAATAAAATCAATAAAAAGCTAAATTTGAAATTAATTTTAGACATGCAAGATCCGCGCACAAGACTAGAAAAAACAATGCCCTATTAGCCACCAAAAAAATAATAATAATAAGTCGGATGTCCTAACACGTTCCTATCAGAAAAATAATCATTTTTAGAACTTTTATGTTATCATTAAATTCCGAAACGTTTTATTTTAATATATCCAAAATTATTTTATA